CGTTTGTATCAAATTTCATCAAAATCGGATGATTTTTGCTCGAGTTATCGCGCTAACGGACACATATATAAATATATATATATATATATACTAGCTGAACCCGGCAGACGTTGTCTTGCCTTTGACTATTTATAATCCCGCGGGCTTTGCCCCGTTTAACTTCTTAATTTTCAAGATGATCTCGTTCGCATGGCTCAATCACGTCCTGGTTAAAGTTTGTTCGCTACGCTCACTCACCTTTAGGTTGGAGCTCGTTCGCTACGCTCACTCACCTAGGAAATAATATTTTGTATTATTATATCCTACATTTATCACTGAAATAGAAAATATGTATACATGTGTGTCCGGCCTACTTATATTCACAAATAAATGTTCTGTGGCAAAATATATGGTACCACTACAAAAGGGCCAAAATATACCCGCCACTGATGAAAAAAATGACCGCCAGATCTAGAGTTAATAAAAATAAGCAGAACTATTCTGCTTTAAAGTTCTTATAATATATAAGAGGTTATTTAATAAAAATTAAATTACACAAACATTTATAAAAATATTTATATTTATTAACAATAATATTTTGGTTAACTCCAATACAAAAGATTTGATATAATCTATGCAGGTAACTTTCACCAGTTTTGTGAATAAGCATTTTGTTTAATGAAGTCAGTGTCAGATCAGTGGAAATAATCATTTTTCACTACACTACCCTACTATGAGTTGAGCTGTTTTCGTTATGTGTTTACAACCTGTGAAACATCATATTTTCAACAGCTGTTTAAAATATGATTTTGTTGTTTACTACCGAAAGTAACATTATTTACAACCGAAAATTTTCCACTGTCAGCAACTTCAAATATTTGTTATTGTTTTATCAACCATTTCAATTTTCAACAACTTAAGTAAATATTAACTTTAAATTGAAGGCATAGCCTAAAAAACTCTAAGAGTTTTGTAATGAAGAAAATAGTTATTCTTTGTAGTGTAGCGAAAAGTAACATCCAAAACACGAGTGAAGTGGGTATATACACATTATTCTCGACCATTTAAAGCCTATATTATGTATACAGAAACCAAGAAAATTATTTTATTTAAATATAAACTAAAATAGTTATTTGTGCAACTAGTGACACTTTGCTGCACACAAGATAAATGTTTTTGCACGAGCCGTAGGCGAGTGTGGAAAGTTTCTTGAGTGTAGAAAAGGCAGTTTGCACTCGTGTTATACAATATATTTTTTCCTAAAGTTACTATAAATCATATAAATAATTAGTCTTTCAAACATTGTACAACACGTTTTTAGGTTGGGTTAAATCCAAATATTGAACGAAATAAGAAATGCTGCACCAGGTGACTGAAGGAAAAGTATTTTTTTATATCTATAATTTATTTATTTATAGAATGTTGTAAATAATTGACCTATGCAGCACTTATGTCCCACATAATTTTATGTTCTTTTCTTACTTTTTTATTAAATTTCTTATCCTTCTAGTTTTCTAGAAATACATGAACACATTCCTATTACATCGGTTAAAGATACAATATAATTATATCGTATTTACAATAAGAATCTAAAAACAATATTTAATGATTGTATAAGATCTCAGTTATCATTAAGGGGTCATTTGGCATCAATAAAAAATAAGGTGTTATTTAGTTTTTCTTAATTTAACACAAAATTCTAAAAATGGAGCTGAAAACTTCTTGCTGCAGACCCTTCAATTGAATAAAAGGATGGTTTTCCGAAGATTAATGATGTTATATACAATCAAATATAACATTAACTGTCGTAATAATCCGCGGATATACCCGATACTAGTGAATATATCCGCCTACAGTTCGGGAAGGGTCTTACAAGAAAAAATTAATATAAATAACTAGTGTGTTATAAAAGCCAAAACTGGAATGTAAGAAGAAAATCTTATTAAAAATACTGTTTCCAACATGATGTACACTGACTGCAGAAAGCAGAAAAACAAAACCTTAACCTACACCCGTTAGTAGTAATCAAATATTAAAGCAAATAAGACAAATTACCATTTTTCAAGATAAAACAAACTTAATACTGCATTTTACAAGACTTTTAATTGATGAATTTCGGGATTTACTTTGTTTTCATTTATTTGTATTAGTAGTGTTTTTTTCCCGAAGGAGTATGGGAGCAGACCTTGAGTTTGCAGAGGACAGAGGATCCTGGAGGCACATGGTTGGCGAGGCCAAAGACCGCCTTGGGTTTCAATGGCCACAGGAGTAAGGGAGAGTAAGTATTGGTTTTTTAGGATGTGAATCAGAAATAACAAACAACATCTAAGATGAGATTTGTTAAATAATTTGAGTACTTTTTCCAAAGAAAGATTTTTAGGTAATATGTATAACCTTTGTATAACCTAAGATAATAATGTAGTACAGCATGACATAAAATGTGCATTCATTCAATAACAATAACACTTTTACTAAAAAAAGTTAAATTAGATATTATAAAAACACAGAGTGTAGAATCCAGCCATAGCTTAGGCTCTCCACACAGATTATAATTCTACTTGTGTATTAGTATAATAAGTAAGATGCCCAATTAGTAAGTGTTGTTAAAATCACATTCAAATATGTAACAATCATTGACCTTGTCTTTATTTCCATATTTAACTTACGATAAATATTATAGTGCAGTTGCAATATTTTTAAATATGTAGATTTTATTACACCGTAACTAACCAAAGAAAGAAAAAAATACTGAATTTGATTAATAACGCATTTGGTATATTTTACTCTTCAAATAAAGTTTGTTTATTAATTGTTACATGTAGCAACTCTTATAAACCATCCACATTGTTAGCTTTGCATTGGATGACCAATGTGATCCATTCTGCACAGATTCAAGAAAATGTATTCACCAAATATCCATAAACTAGCTGTTTGCCCGTTCTACGTACGGGAATCTTGTAGTAAGTTGAAACCTTATATTCAGAACTGGAGTTGGTTTGCATATTTAGTGTGCATTTTCCCAGATATGCTGGCAAAACTATTACTGTATATGAATACATATAAACCTTCGCAAATACAATATCTGACAGTTTCAAAGCCAAAATGAATGCTTCGCAATCAAATGTCACCCGATCGTGTTAGTCCATATTTTATATCATTATGATAAAAGGAATTGCTTTATAGATCTATGAGGCATAGCCCTAAGGTAGGCCTGTAATTGAAAGTTACTTTTCACACTGAATAAAAGTAGTTAAATACTACCCCAACCTCACTACTGCACACTTTATTCGGGTTGAAATTTTCATTAACAAAGGTTGTCCTTCCCACAAAACACTGAGAAATTAGGACATTAATGCGTTACTAACAGACATACACACAAAAAAAATACAGAATTGAATTAGGGGATTTGCTACGCGCCAAAGCAAATTACAAACAAAATAATTATTTGAAAGTTTTGATAGTATCGTCAAATTTTATGATAATCGTTTTTAGGCCTAATCAAAATGTAAAATTGGTGTAAATCCGTTGGCAAATATATAAATAAAAAAATAAATACACAGTCCACAGAATATTTATACGTTAACAACGCCAAGCTTTAAAAATTCATTATGGTTTACAAAAAAAAAAAAATCTTTCACTAATGTTTTATCATTTTCATAGCATAAACTAACATTTTGGAGTAGAGACAGAAAACGCAAAAATTATACAGTAAGACATCAATTAAATTTAATAAGAAATAAGAAGCAGCACTAATGATAACTATAGTTGTAAATACTGATGTGTTTCTACGTAAAAATTATTCGATTTGCGTACAAAATGTGATTGGAAATGTTGCAGTATTTGTAAACAAAATGTAATGTAAACAATTAAACATATCAGTGACAGCTAGAAGTGAGAATTGATCCAAACAGCTGTTCGTCATTTCATAAAATGTAATAGTAAACATTAGGAGAAAACTTGACAAAAATCTAACAAAATTGGGTTTTTGATGGTTCGTTATATTTTTTCAAAAGTAGTTAGGCCGTATTTTAATAGCCAAAGACACTCTCGCCAATAGAAAAATAATTGGAATCTTGATCTGTACTCTAGTTTTCAAGGAGTAGGCCGCGTAAAATGACATTTCGGCGTTACAGACGGAACCACAGAATGGACAAACAGATAGACATACAGACAGAAATTGAGATAAGACTCGTTTCGGCTTTCTTAGGCTATGAAACATAAAAATAACCAACAACTGCATGATTCTAAGCAATGTACAGACAAAACTGTAATTTTATTTATACACGTATAGATGAATAACAAATGTAGAGCACAACTTTGGACAGATAATACTGTATTAAATGAGTAATCGACTCTAGAAACCCTGTTTTGTTTACACAATCAGTCTTTAAAATAGGTTTTATGATTTGATAGTTTTAGTTGTATTGTAAAAGTCTCTTCTATTTGCAGCAGGCTAATAAATATTAAATGCAAATTTAAACGTATGGTTTGGAATAATTTTTCTCTGAAATAATTAATTATGTCAAATTATTTTGGTATTTTACAGTAGACACTTTAAACCTTCTTTTTAATTACACTAAAGATAAATAATTTAATGAAGGTAAACTTTGTATTTTTTTGTAAATATTTTCATTAACAGCACCAATGCTAGCTCGGCTGCAGAGTCAATGAACATGGAGCAACAACATGTTTATTGTTTTAAGAGGAAATCAGCACATTTACTAAAAATATTGGCATTTTTAATCTGCTCATCGTTTTCCAACCTACAATGGCTATATAAAAAAAAATTTAGGAAGACTTGGTATTTTATTATTATTATTTTTTTAATATAAAGGTTTGATTTATTTTCGTGATTTAAAACATCCCTTTGAAACGTACCTACCTTATACACCTCTTATTGGTTACTGTTTTGTTTTGACAAAGTACAATGAGCCATTGAAGTCAAAGAGTTAACATCAGTAAAATAATATTAATAGTAGTATTAATATTAATAGTAAAATAATATAAATAATATGACTGCATTGAATATACTTCAAAAGACTTATTGAAGGAAATTGTTTACAACATGTACAGTGGATAACATAAAATAAATATAATGCAACAAGAGTATGGTGTTATGCCAGGCTACTCTTCTTCACTACTGGAGGAGGAGCTGCTGGAGGACGAGCTGCTAGAAGAGCTGTGACCGTGATGATGGTGGTGATGACCCATCTTGTGTAGAGCATACGCTCCGAGCCCCACCCCAGCCAAGGGAATACCATACTTCAAGGCCTTTTTGTGGGCCTTCTTCTGCTTCTTCAACGCTTTTTTCTACAAAAAATATTAAGTGTTAGCATAAACCAATGATTAATTTATGGCAAAAATCTTTAATGTAGGCATACCCAAGGCAGCATGTTTTCTCTAACAGCGTACATGGCTGACGGGAGCCTCATTTGGGGCCTAAGGGATATGGCTTGAAAAATGATTTTAAAAGATCAATTCTTTTAGGAGTTTCTTACTTTTTTTTCAAGCTAAGCTTTTATTCTTATGATCCCCAAAAGCGTTTCAAAGAGTTGGCAAATGCAAAAGCGTGAGAGATAGGCCTAATGATGAAGTCTCTGTGACCAGGTAAGATGTTCACAATCTCTCTCCACAACCAGAGGAGACGTTCATGATTCTCAGACTCATAATATTATTTTTTAGTCTCCTATCCTTCTCAGTCTACTTGCCAATCAAATTGAACAAAACAAAGAGTTGAGTTAAAGTAATACCACGGGTATTTCAGTGCCACCTAAGCTCCAACCACCAGAGGAGCCTCTCTGGGATGAGCTGCCAGGGGGCCACATATACCACCAAGGGCTGAGAGCCTCTATCAACAGCACCATACTCACAGGACTGAGATGACCAGTGAGAGCAGCTCCAGCTAGACCTCCTGCTACTGCTGGTCCAACAACACCACTCTGCAACAGAAATGGCACACTAAAACTTCTACAAGAACTTACACTTTGTACATAATCTAATCCATCCATCTCAACTCGACATCAACGGTTACTTTCAAGGCTTACACTAATTCATCTTACTGCGATAAATAGAGTGAATAGCTTCTTGATCAGCATCGTACGTGTTATTAAATTACCTGAAATAAGCAAAAATAGGCGAATGACAAGAATCCCTCATCCGCCAATCATTCTTGTCATTCGCCTATTGGGTCTGATGATGATTGGAGTGTCCAATCAAAATCGATCACCACTTACCAACTTTTATATGTATTTACCGTCTTGTAAGTCAACAGTATAAGTGTAAATATATTATTACAAGTGTTATTAGACGTATATATTTTTGCTTTTTTCAAATTGAGTGAAATAGTATAAATTTTAAGCATTTAGCTCTTTAGCTTTTTTTAAATGAGTAATAAGTGTAAAAACAATAATGTCTATTGCCTTAGTTACAAAATATGGTTGATCATTCAATGAATAAAATATTTTGCATACTGTACGTCATCTCAGGGGTTAAAATTACAATGTTAACTGATTTCTCTTCTTTTGGAAGAGCCTTTAAATAGTATTAAAATCGTATTGGTCGATCTTTTGTGGTAAACACTTCCGTGATTTTATCAGCGTAAATGCAGATTAAATCCATGCTTGTATTGTATTGAGAAAAAATTTGTTTGTCGAGAAGGCACGTTTTTGCTTCAAAGGGAGGTCCACCCTTAAGCCAGGGGTGCCCACAAGGGGGGGCTGTGACGCAGACTGCGTCATTGAAATTCTTGGGGGGGGCTGTAAAAATTCAAATGGGGGGGGGTTGGCTAAAGTTAATTGCAACAGTGTTCAACGTGACGACAATCAAAAATATATTACGAAGTCGCTAGATAGAAAGTCTGTTAATTAATGACAATAGTTATATAATTGAAATCAATTAGTTAAAATGGGATTTTAGGATAGTTTAGAATTCGTGTAGGAAGTTATTATTCAAGATTAGCAAGACGTGAGACTAAGAGGGAGGGCACGGAATAGCTCAACTGCTGAGATAGATAAAGATAACAAGTGGTACAAACACGTCAAACTACACCGCGACTTAGCACAGAACGCTTTGTTGTCATAAAGCTCGTTTAAATACAATCAAGTAGCATAGGCTACAATACCTTACACTATTTTGTAGATACCCTGAGTTAATAGGGGGGAGGGGGTAATGAAAAATATGGTTAATTCAATAGTATAAAAACAGATGACAAACCCATTAAAACGCTGTAAACAGCCATTAACAACACGATTTGCATTTTTATCAACGAAATTCAATATTGCACAATCATTATTATTGTGCAATAATGACATTTCAAATCATTTATCTTGGTTAAGTTGTACAAACGGTAACGTTTAAAATTAAAACTAACTCAAACTCAACTATAATAACCAGCCAAACACTGCATTGCTATAAATAACGTAAATATTAAACCTTAGAAAGTGTTATAAGTTACTGCTCATGATAGACAGATAGGCTACCGGTAGGTGCTGTATCACAACATACGAACTGATGGATAAGCCATAAAAAGTGTACAATTTTATTTAGAGATAGTAAAAACATTCTTAAAAAAGAATGTAACGAGAACAATCTTGTTTTTCTTTTTCTTTGTTCTTCTGTTCTTTATTAGGTTTCTCTTCAATTCATACACAAATTGAACAAGTTGCCATATTTAGGCCTACTCATTGCCCAATCACAGCCTTAAAGTTACCATGGTTACTAATCACTCAATCACATTTTACAGTAAAATACACAATCAAAATCCATAGCATTGCAATAGAATTGTGTTATTGTCACCGTTGCCTAGCAACTATTTATTTTTATATTTGCTGATTCCTCAAATTATTTCTTCGCATAACCTTAAAGTTGTAGTTGTGTTGACTATCAGTGTGCATTATTATAGTGGTGAATAGTGGTAATAGGGTATAGTGTGGTGAAAAATAGCGTTCGTACCACGGACCGAAATGGTTTTGCAGCTCTCGATCGATTTAAGTTCTCGACTTCGTCTCGAACTTAAAAACTATCTCGAGCCGGCAAAACCTCATTTTCGGCCCTTGGTACGAAATATACTATATCAACATCGCTTTGCCTTTATTTACTTATGTTAATTGTTTTGGTATTTATTCTTGCTTTCTGTTGTTATTTTGATCAGAATCTATTGTATTCCTGTAAGCTTGCTGCTTGCTGTCTTCAGTTTTGTTTTCACTACCTCATAAACACTGATTTCTAGGTTATGTTTACTTGCTCCCGATACAGCCCGGTATTATGACAGTTCACTGCCACCGCCACCTGGATTTTACTCTAAACTTTCGTTTATAAAACCAGCGTTAGTTTTGACGTGTTTTCGTTGGTGAAACCAGATTTCCTTACCTGTGGTTTAAATAATTGGTTCCGAAGTTGAACTTAACTGCATTTTTGCAGGCCTAGGCTACTTCTTTGTTCTTAAACCACTGTACGGTCGTTATCTTTGATTTGTATACGGAAAAAGTCCATTCATAAATTCCTTAAATTCTTAAGTGCGCCCCCCCCTCAACAAATTCCTGGATCCGCCCCTGATTTTACTAAGCATTATATCCGATCGTCATCATTCCCCAGCTGTTGTATCATCTGAAATCTGTTCTAGCATAGCGAACAGTGGACAGAAGTGTAAAACAGAGCAGACGATTGTTCGCGCAAGCGTTGTCTCCATTTCATTTTCATCAAAGCAGCTGTGTTGTTTCTAAAACGATTATGTGGGAGGGAGAGGGGGTCGTTACTGCAAGAGAAAGACGCAGACAATTCGTTAAGCAGAGGTTACGAATGCTATATAGATATTCTGGCAATAAAAAATGCCTTAAATTGAGGTGACTTATAAAACTCTAATTTTATTTATATAGAAAGATAAGTTTTCCAGTCCTGTCCAACACTGATTCACGGCATTTTCCCGGTAATCAAAATTCAAGTACAACTTGATAAACACAGAATCTCCGGTTCCCGACCTGGATGATGGCTAGTTATTTAATTTAATTTACATTACATATAAGTGCCCGTGACAAATCAAACCCGTTATGTAAGCCACACTGTTATTAATCTCACTTGGTTTTGGATTTTCTTACAAACGGGATCGGAAATGGTTAAGGCCTACACAGTATTCGTAAACAACATTTATGTAAGTAAACATATCAGTGAAAGCTAGAAAAAGGAATCTTTAGGCCAGGCGCACACAGGCGATTTTGAGTCGCGCAACAGTTGCCCGACTAAAATGTTCAACATTGTTTTAAATTGGAGTGCGCACACGAAGGAAACAGTCTGGGGACAGTCGCGCAACTGTTGCAACCGATGTTCCCGGACCCAATTTGCCAGCGACTGCTCTGCGACTGAATTGTTGCAGGACTGTCGCTCCAGGTTTGGTATCCATTGAAACAAGTGTAGATGCGCACACATGCAACTAAATAGTCGCTGTGTCGCTCAGTCTCACCCCAGGAGTTCAACTACTCGTGGTCAGAACTGTCACTAGTGTTTGCTCTCTTGTTGTGTGAAGATTTTAGAAAATTACAAGTATGAGTGTGCGTGATGAGGATGTTTGAGAAGAGGCCGACTATATTTAATGTCATTGAAACTGTCCTTTCACAAGTTGCTCACTATATATATGGGATGAACCCAGTATCTTCTCTTTTTCTTTCGCGCGCGAAACTTCAGCAACAAAGCACATACTACGGCTGTATCATTGAAATCCATTCGGAACGCTGTTACGAATGTATTTCCAACACGTCTCAAGACTAGATCCGCGACTAAAAAGTTGCCTGTGTGCGCACTCCAGCTCAACTGTCGCTAGACTTCAGAGTCTCCGAGAGAGTTGCGCAACAGTCCCCCGATTAGTCGGGCAACTGTTGCGCAACTCAAAATCGCCTGTGTGCGCCTGGCCTTATCAAAACAGCTGTTCGTAATTTCATATATGCCGTGTTCTCTTTAGGTTATTAGTATTACATAAATGACGTATTATAGTAAACATTGAGAAAAAAAGCTTGAAAAAATCACTCAAAATTGGGTTTTTGATTGTCCGTTATTTTATTTTCAAAACAGTGAGGCCATATTTTAATGGCTAAGAACACTCTCACCAATCCTGTGAATACAATTAAACCATTAGAATCATAATTGGTACTATAGTTTTCTTTAGAGTAGGCTGCGTAAAATGTCTTCTGGGCCGTGACAGACGGACGTAAATTGAGATAAGACATGTTCCAACTTCTTTAATGTATAAAACGTTAAAATAACCTAAATATGTATAATTCTGAGTAATGTACAGACAAAACTAAAAATTTATTAATATAGATTAACTGGGTTTGAATTTTAAATTACTGAAAAAATGTATAAAGCTTCTTTTAGTTTTACAAATAATGCTGGGCGGGGAAACATTATTGGGTACCTAATTTTGGGGGGGCTGATGCTCGATTGGGGGGGGGGGCTGCGTCATGAGTTAAGGGGGGGATGGGCACCCCTGCTTAAGCTGTGTAAGTTACAAAAATGAGATGATATCCATCTGTCCTTCCATCTTGAATAAAACTGTTGAACCAATAGCTAAAATTTCTATTTTAAAACCCATTGCAATCCAAAAGACTATCTTTGGGTTGTCTTAATCAGTTATGTGAAATGCTGTACTTGCTAGTATTTTACACAGTAACTGATGTAAATTTCACATGGGTTGTCTTTAACCCTTGGATGACAAGTGGGATTGCTAAACACAAAAACAATCAATACAGTAGACTCCCTCTTATCCGGACACCTTTTAACCAAACATCGGTTTAACCGGACTACAATCGGCGGAAATGACATCTCTTTAACCGGACAATTTTTATCAGCACATTGGGGTAACCGGACTAGATTGGCAGGAAGTGGGTGGTACTGAAATGACAGTTCTCGTGGGAAAGATTTGAGACCAGTGATCACGTGTCTAAATACAATG